TTAAAGTACTATATTGTTTAAGATATATTTCACAAAAGTTTTACCTCTTAAACTTATGAACAATAAATTATGACCACAAATATAATTTTTTATAATTAATTACATTTTGGTACATTGTTGTCTATCTACTTGTTTGATAACAAAAATTAATTAAGTGGATAAGTATGGTACTTTAAATATGTGCGATTACTGTAAAATACAATATCATACTTAAGAAGAGTATGCTTAAAATCTAGATAAATTTCAAAGATCTCTTTTTATTAGCATTCATTATTACATCATCTCTTAGTTCTTCATAAACTCTTTAAAAAAATGCATAGTTTTCCTGGAAATATTATAAAATATAACGATACTTTTATGATATTTACAAAGTCAATAAATAATAAAATTATACACTGTATAAAATATTTTGGTGTACTTCATTAAGAATAATTTACTTTAATTTCAGCTGCATTTATTAACTTTTCCAGTAAAAATAATAATTGATACACTTCTTGTAAGATATAAAAATATTTCATAGGAAAAATGGTTGGTCTCGAGAGTGTTTGATATAGGAGTCATAAAAAATAAGAAATATTTAACGATATTACTCTAAGAGCCGAATTTAAAAGATTTTAATTAACCACTTTTTAAAATATTTTATACAGAATACCTTACCTCAGAATGAACTTTGTATTACTATACAGTTTTAAATTCTCATTGTAGTGAGATTTAAAATAACACTTAGTATATAAATTATAATAATTCGATGAAGGTTGCTTTTATGACTGATTAAGAAAAACTTCATATTTTCTTAATCTTCATATAAGCCATAAATAATATGTACGCTATACTAACAATTTATGGGTTACAAAAATAGTTTATTCATATCGAATTTATTAAAAAATGATGAGAAGATTAAAAATTCCAACGACATATAACGTATATAAAATAAATATATTCAGTAATAAGATCATGAGTTAAATTTGAAAGTAAGCTTGAATAAGTTGAAGAAACCTCCAAACAAGTATCCAATAGTGAAAGGGTACAAATAGTAAGAAATAAAATTTGTAAATATAATGAAATTTTAAATAATAAAATATTAAAATAAAAATTGTCAATATCACAAAGCTTAATTTTTTACTAAATAGATTTTAGGTTTAAAATTATAACATCAGAAAATACATAAAACTTAGTGTAATATTAAAACGGACAACATTTTAAATAAAAAATGCTCAGATAAATTTTGTTTTGTAAATGTTTCTTCCCAATATTAATTTGTAAAGGAATTTTTTGCTCCAGAAATTTTAACAAGGTGAAGTGGAGAGAGTTTTTTTCTTTTAATAGTAATAAAATGAATTGTATATTATTCATCTATTAAATAATAATTATTTATAGCAAAAAACTTTCAGATTACCTGTATTTATGCTAAAATATTTAAATTAATTAATATTTAACTTTCTAGTTCTTTTTAAATAAAAAAATTAATAAAGGTCACAATTGCTTATTTAATAGAAAGGGTAAGAACTTTAAAGTGTGATTCTTCAAATAAAATCATATTATCAAATATTTTTTAAATTATTTAAGTGAGTGGGCTTTGCTACACGATGATATATTTTATTTAATACATACATAAAAAAATGAAACAACTAATTTAAAAGTTCTGAATTTTTTTTTAATATCAGTTTAAATCATCGAAATTACATGTTTAACCAATTTTATAAGATTTTTTATTGGTTAGTCAACTAGACAAAAATAATTGATGAATTCTTAAATAAACCAAGTATAGATATTCTTGTTTAATAAGATCAACAAAACTTATATCATACTTACTTCGATACACAAATACACTGGGCCAAGTTTAAATCAAGAGACCGAAATTACATGCATTTATAAATTTTAAGTTAATCCGAATAAACTAGAACCAGATAAAATTTGTATCAATTATTTAATTATTTATTAATCAATTATATTATTTATAGATCTTGCTTTTATCTCTATAACTCTCAGCTACAAAAACTGTATTGTTGATATTACTTAATAATTCGATTATTAGTATTTGAATTAAATGATAAATGTTACTGTAAAAAATTTATGTTACTGGTAGTAAATAATTACCACCAGTAACATAAAGAAAAATATCAGACGTGAAAATATTTAAGGAATGTTAATTTATTTTAGATGTGTGATTAAATAAAAGTAAAGGGGTTGATTATTATAGATATAAGAATAACTAAAATAAGGCAAATATAATGAAATCATTTTTTTTTGTATACAAAACTATTAACCGTATTATTGCCTTGAAACAATAAACGTGCATTTGATTGTAAATTTGAAAATATTATTAAAAATCTTAAAACTGTTGTATGAATTGTGAAATCAATCGAAAGTCATATATATATTATTAGGAACACATAATATATAATAGATAACAATAACTAGGTCATACGTAATAAAAAAAGGATTATGACTTATTTTGAACGGAGTGTTTCCATTACTTAAAAGTTATTTTTACACGACACATAAGGAAAAATATTATTTAATTTTATTGTTAATATTTAAAATTGTTTTTTTGAAATAAATATACTATTTATACTATATTATATTGTTATAATATATTTAAAATATTTTTTAATGATAAAAGTTATTTATTAAAATAATCATGTAATCACGTGTAATGAGAAATTTTTTATTCTAAAACTCGGAGATTAAATTTAATTTTTTTTTGTTTTTCATTTAAATACATTATAACGTCATCTCCTAAATGAATTTAACGTTATTCAATATTTAAACGTTATACAATATTTATGTTTAATGTTTTAACGTTACTACACTTTTAAGTTTAATGTTAAAAAGGTTCAACATATAATTCACTATCATAAGAAGTTTTTAATATGGGCAATTGCAGAGGCGTCCTTTCAGATTTCACTAGAATGGGGAAATTTTATAATCTACCGATAATTTCACTACATCACTCGTGATATATTTCCTGACAACTCAAACCTATTTCACTTTATATAAAAATTACTATGACAGAACTTTTAATTTAAATAATTTAGAAATAAGGAATTTATGTATCTAAATAAAAAAATTAGAAAAAGAAAATCATATACAAAGTATATAATTTTATAATCAATTAAAATTAATATATATATATATTAATTCAATAAGAAAGAATGTTTTGTCAAGTAAGAATCTTTGTTGTATCTGATTATGATGACAAGAGAGAGCTTGTTAAAATCGGATTTCTTTTGTATTTTAAATAATTAAGTATGAAATATTAAATGTCTTTTTCATTGAATAAAAATTAATTTTTATTACATTTGTTTGATTATTATACATTGGCTTTTAATGAGAAATTGACTTTCTTCAAAGAATGGCCCTACAACTGGACTATTTTCAACTCGAAATTAAATATTTGAGTAATCAAGCTTAATAAATTTAAATGAACAAATTAAAGGCAAAATAAAATATGTCGTTAATTTTACTATCAATAATTATTTCACTTGAATTATTCATAAATTATATATTAACATTCAAATTTTTTTATCAATTGCATTGTCATTTAAATTTCTAGACTTTAATTCTAGCCGTGTGACTGACATTAATTATAGTTATGTAGTAAAAAGTTCTGTGTTGGTTAAAATATCATTACTGTTACTATTTAAATATTTTTCATAAACATTATAAATCTTATATTTATAATTAATAACTCATGCTTTATAGAATAGTGGTAGAATCAATACTCAAAATAATTATGCATCAAAGTTTTAACATTGAATAATTGAATTTACAATGATATTGGATTTTCGTATACACAATAAGTTAATTGAGATATTTTTGCTGTCCTTTTTTTATTTATTTATGTGGCAACTAACCTAAAAAATCAGTTCTAGGGTACTGCAGGTAAACTATGGAAATTAGGAAATTGTATATTTCCTTTTTTTTTTAACTAGAAAAATAAAAAATTAGTTTTTTTCTTGTGAAGCTCATTTTTAATACTTTAGTTAGCATCAAAACTGAAAATTTCATTTATGTACAGCAGCATTTTTATAAAATACATCAGAGGCAGTTATGATATAGAATTAACGCCGAAGAATTTCTTTAGCGTTATTTTACAATGTTAACAAGTACTTGTGACATATTTTGTCATGTTTTTATAATTTTACCATTAAAACGGTTATATGATATATAACAGTTCTTCTTTCTACTAGTCGCAGATAAAATCTTAATCATTTAGTTATCAAAAAAAAAAAAAGTTAACAAAAACTAATAAAATTGCAAATTATTAGTTTTTGTTCACGTCATATATATTATTAAGCAATTAAGAAAATATGAGTGTCGAAATGTTGAAAATTAAATAATAAGAAACAAGTATGCTACTTTATCATCGTCTAATTTACTGAAGTGTCTTGAAATTTTATCCAGAATAAGTAACTTAATAAATCTTGGACGATAATGCAATTAGATTACGTATAAGTTAAAATGTTTGACTTCGGTATGCTATTTAATTATAAAATTAGGGAACTTTAATTACAACTATGTAAGTACTGCGTGTAATTTACTTCTTAATATGAGATAAATATCTACAGTTGAAATAGTTGACAAAAATTTGTTAACATTAAGAATTTTAAATTATTTGTCATTTTGTTGTTTTATCTAGCTTTTAATTTATGAATTAATTACGGTTCAGGAACAAAGTTTCATTAATTTAAATCCTTAAGAATTACCTAAAGTACAAACGTTTTCAAAGTATTCCACTATTGTGTACCTTCATTTCCTGTTACAAAAAGTGAAATAAATTATACCATAAACTAACGCCAAATGTCATTTTTTTTTTTTTTTTTTGAAAATTTTCAAATTATAAAATAAAGAGGTTTGTGTTAATTTTCAAATAGAGAATACAATTTGTTCTTTTCACAAACAAAATAATTTTAGTTTTTTCTCGAATAGCTTACTCCATCAAGTAATTCATTAGAGTTATTTATTAATTGAATACAATGTTTGATTTTCTTTTATAGCGGTGGGACCAAATGGAGTAATATCAGGTGATAAGAAAATTCCTAAAGAATGTTTTGTCAAACACTGCGACCAAAGACGAAAATATCCAGTGCTATACAAACTTGAATTTCAGGTAAATTAAGTTAATATATTTTTTGTTTTATTTAATTCAATTTATTTTGAAATTAATCAAATCTTATTTTTTAGCATTGTATTTCTTATTTTAAACATTTATAGTCATAATCATGATAAGTATACTAAATGCAATTTTTGTCAAATATTTTATTTGTAATACATAGTATTATTAAATTCAACAATTATCTTTAATTACTATTATAATTTTTAAACAGCAGTCTGTAGAAATAGTGCGACAAGTTTTGAGGTTATATGAGAATTGATCCCGAAGCGTCGGGATACAATGTCATCAACTTGCACTAAGGAAATATTTTAAATCTTATTTTTGAGGTTAAAATAAATAAACGAGTTTATAAACAATGTTTAATCAAAAAAAAAAAATTTTAATTTACTCGATGTCATAAGTTATAAAAACAATTTTATTACTAATTATTTCAAAATTAAAATAATAAAACATGTATTTAATGGTATTTTTTAAACACATATTTTTTCACAAACCACAGTTGTATTGAATTCACGTCTAGGAGCTTTTAAATCATATTTCTACAATAGTGTTGGCTAGATAAATACCTCAGGGACTCGAGCGTTGTTTACAGGTTGATAGCATTTTTAGCAAAGGCAATTTGTACTCTCTAACAATCGCCTGCTGTTTTATGTACGTAAACAAAAATCCTTTGTTGAAACATTGATAAAAAGAGAAGCGCGTACACACAGTATCGACATAAATTGCGTTCTCGACACAATAATTGAAGTAAACGTTTTATTATATCTTTATACAAGCAAATGGCTAAATGATCAGTCCATATGAATTTTTTCTATTTACAATTGCCATTGTTATTAGCCTTTTCGATCTGCAGGTATACATAAATCTGAATAATTAAATTTTTATAACTACTAAATTGTAATTATAATAATTCTATTTAAAGTATTTATGTATTTAAAAATAAATAATTACCTAAGTTTAAAGGTAAGAATGGCCGACCTTAAGTAGGTGGGATAAAGACAAGGAAAAAGAAGAAGACTCAAGTTTAAAGATAAAATTTTAGGTTAAAAAAAACCATTGTATTCTATTGAGATGGTATTTATTTTATTTTACATGTATAAAAATTGATTTTTTTACAATTAGCTAACAGAAGACACAAATTATAGTATTCTGAGTTTGACAGTAACAAAAATGTATAAAAATAAACATATTAAATGTAATTTGCTGTGTATTATGTGAATGAATTAAGTATGAGTAATAGAAGTTCTGACCCTAATTTTATTTATTTCAGTGATACCGCGTTCATTAGTTTGGGGCGCAAATATATTTGACTTCCGTGCACATTTTTTCACAGTTCTCTAATATATTTCAATAATGTATCCATTTATGCATTATGAAATTCATATAGTTTCTTAAATTAATATTAGAGAGAAGAAAAGTATGATGATCAATGAAGTGTGTGAATTTTTCAAATATGCTACTAAAAAAATTATATTCAATGATTCACTGATTATGTCTCTCACTAACTTCTTTCCAGAAGTAACTAACTTAATTAGTATTTTAAATATTTAAATTAACATAAAAAATATAGAACTGTCCTAGTTCTATTAGTAAATTTTTCCTCTAAATTTTATCATTTAAATTTTTGAAGTACGATTGGTCGACAACAACTTTGAACTTAGCTGTTACGTTTTAAACACTGTTTTTGAACCAGTATTTTGGAAGTTTAATGAAAAGACTGAACGTAAAGTGGGAGTGTGTTTGTTTTCATCTCAAACTATTTGTGAATTACATTACGTCTCCCGTCATGGTATAGAAATTTTAATAATTTCCAAAATACTGGTTCTAAAGATACTATCGACCAGTCGTTTTCTTATTAGTTTGTAAGGAAAACATGTATGTTTCCGTTAATAAAACTAAAGGTGATACAATTGTAAGAAAAAAGAAGAGGGGATAGAGCTATATTTTTTTCTGTTAATTTAAGTATGTAAAATGATCATAACTTCTGAAAAAAAAATTAAATTTTATCCTATACTTGAAAATATTCCGTAAGACATAGTCAACGGGTCACTTTGTATTGCCAATAATCATAAAAACTCCTTTTACAATAAAAAATTTTTCTCGTGATTAATTAATAAAGGACATGCGCTGTCAAATATTATTATCAATAACTATTTTTCATAAGTTTATTTGAGTCAAAGTAAAAAATTCCACAAATCAAAAAAAAAAAAAAAATGAGTAATATTTCTACTACACAAGATTTGAAAAATAATTGTTGATAGAACCCCAATTCGTTAGGTCACCAGATTACACTCATTAATTGTCTGAATTACTATGATATTATACTGTAGTAAATACTTATTACTAAAATAATAAAATCCCTACCATGCACGAAGTAGCAGATTTGTAACAAATTAAAAAATAGGAATAATTGATTTCTTAGACCTATTTTTATTCATAGTTCACTTTATTGGTTAGTATCGTTAAAAATATAATTATAAGTGCATACATTTCTTTAATACTATATTATTAATTTAAGAATAATCATTTAAACTTTAAAAGAAAAATTTCGTTGTACATATTTTATTATTCTTCGGTCATCATTAATAAAATTCTAAACATTTAACTACATAGAGTTAAATAAAAACATACCGATCGTAAGAAAGGACAAGTATCAAGTTAATTATGATAATATAAAGTTATAGATTTTTAATTTAAGACACTTTTAATAAAGTAAATAAAGTAGTATAATATAATGATATTAAACTAAAATAAATAAAGTCTTATGGAATTGTAAATAAATTTTATTCTTCAAAATTATTCAATGAAAATATGCTGCCATTTTCCTTTCTTTTCTCACGGAATTCATAAGTTAAATACCTCTCCAAAAAATAACATTCAGGACATTTTTAACAAACTAGGCAGGGAGATTTCTAAACTACATTTTAAGGAATATTTCGAAAATATTAGAACTAATTATTCTTTGATTTTTCTAACAATAATGGTTTTTTATTGAGTTGCTTAATACGAAAAATTAATTTTCTGTTATCATCTCGTGTACCATAAATTCATATCAATTTTCTATTTAACTGACAACCCCAATTCTTTTTTTAATTATTTTATCTGATTTATAATTAATAATATTACTATTAAATTTATTCATTTAAAAATAAATATTTTGAATAAAATAAAATAATATAAAACATTAAAAAAATGTTTTTATATTATTTGATTTTCAACGAGTGTCTCTAAACTTTAAATGCACATATTTTAAGTTTTGAGGCAATCAGAAAAACGTACTTATTTTTAAAAGATATTATCATGTCATAAATCTATAAATGCTTCCAATTTATACAAATATGATAATAGGATAAAGATTTAAAGCAAGTCAACAAAGAATCTTTATTATTAATATAATAAATATATGATTAGCACTAATACATTTTCAACTATTATAAAGATATAAATAAAATAAAACTGTTTAATCAAATGAATACATTTGCTGGTATAAATAAATTGGAGTTTCCATTAGAAAATAAAAAATTTGCTTATTATATTAATTGTAATTGGTATTTAAAAATATGAAAATTTATAAAATACAATATTTTATTACGGATGCAAGTTTAAAGACTATTACGTCTATCAATATAAAAAATAATAATTGTTTAAGCAATGAATATAATTATTATTGAAGCCGGTTATTTTAGAAAAAACTAACCGGGCAATAGGTTGATAGAAATCTAGTGGGTTTTTGGGTTTGATAAAACACTGATATTTTAGGTTTTTTCAATAAAATTTGGAGTTTTACAATTTTAATTTTAATATAAGTCTTAAGAACGTTTTCTTTTTTTATTTTATTCAAAATCATACTAAAAAGACTTTAAAAATTAGTTTTTTGTAATAAATTTAATATAGAATTACCAATCTTAATAAAAATACATAGCATTGCAAAAATGTCTTAAAATTTTTACCATTTATAAGAAAAAATTGAACATATTCAATAATACAATGAACAAAAGAATTAAAGTGATTATAAAACATATTAAAATAACTGTAAATCGCGAAAATAACTAGTTGAAACATTTAAATAAGTTATTTAAAAAAAATTAAATAGCAAATCTCGAGCATTATTGTATACTCAAAAGGAAGATATCAAAACATAAATGGATTTTTGTTGGTCTATGCAACGAGTCTAGTGATTTTTGAAGAAACCAACATGGTGTTGCCGCAAAAGTCAAGCACTTCATGCAAATGTTGCTGAAGAGCATTTGTGCTCTCAAACTTTTCATCACATGAACTACAAGCGATATTTTTAATGGCCGGCGGTGGCAGAAATTGAAACTGTTCGGATTTAAGTCCGGGCTGAATATCCGATTTTCCAGACAATTGAGTGTTTACGACTCCTTTGTCGTCGATCTGTTTAGTAACAACTTTTGAGTTGTTATTGATCTTCGCTAAAAATGCGATTATTTGTTGCTTTCTTTGCCACCGTGGTCCTTTAATCTTACGTTTTACACGTTGATGCGTATCTATAACGCGAGGCACCGATTTCAGAGCTATGCGATGCATAAAACACCGATGATGTTGCAACGCCTTAAGAGTGTCATAAATTTGACAGCAAGCATTGCATATGTGTTTGTCCGAACTTTTGTGATTATTCGCCTTGTGTATGCGCAATGAAGAGCGCGACATGAAATATTCACCACAAGTTTGGCACATTAAATTGCGTATCAAGTGATAACGGATATGATCCTGAATGGATACTGGATCGTAGAAGACACCACCACAACCTGGTATCTTACATTTCAGTGTTTCTCGAGGATTGCGGTGATCTGATTCGACGTGTTCCCAAAGTTGTGTCTCCGTTATGAAAGACATACCGCAATAATTACAAGCAAACGTTTTTTCCAACGTTTCCACTGGACCACTGACTTTTGATCCCGAGGACATATCACTCAACCCCCCGGAAGTTGCAAAACTAAGTGCATCCGTGTACTGAGATCTACAATGTTTAT